TGAGGTAAGTGTGTGTTGATAGGTGAAAGCATGTTAGTGTGTTTAATTACGCTTATGTACTCAGCTTTGCTGATTGTGTGTGTTTGAGTGTGTTTGGCCATGTCTTTATATCTTGGCCCTATGATGACCCATTTTTAATGGAGAGTAGTGGGGACAAGTAGAGATACACTTTTCAGGTATTGAAGCATATTCATGACGGGGCATGAGTGAAGAGTGAATCATGCTAGTTTCCATTAGATTACGATATGTTTTATGCTATGTTTATTTGTGGTACTTTTCATATGGACTAACGCAAAGGTTTGGTTTTGGAACGGTTTTGAATAAGGGCCTTTAATGGTTCCAAGTTGTAGTTGATTTTATTTGACTTTGTTTGTTGGTTTTAAACTTAGCTTTACTTTCGTTCGGTTGACCTTTGAGTTGACTTGTTTGAATGGTTTTGATTTAAGTCTTCCGTTGTGTGTCTTTCATAACTGCCTTAGCCGTTTTCACGGTGGCGGTAATGTTTTAGATATTCCTAAAATGTATTTTAAAAGAGTAAAGTGGGTATTTAAAGGAAAGGAATTTCTAGGGTGTTACAAAATCGGCTGCTAGTTATCAGGGGCTAGTAGAAGAGAATAAAACATAAAGGTGGGATTATTAGATAATAGTCAAAAGGTGCGATTATTAATGACGAACCAGTGATTATTAAAATTAATTTTTCCTTAAAAATAATTTCTACTACCTCCGGTTCAATTTACTCGCAACAAAGGACATGTTTGCGGAAACCAAGACAAAATATTGAAAACATGATTATGGAAAAATAAAGGTATATGCTTAACTAGGGGTGAACATGGTCTGGTTTGGTGTGGTTTGAGTCTAAACCAAACCAAATCGTAAAATACGGTTTGGTCAATTTTCCAAACCAAACCAAACCATATTAGTATTGAAACCAAACCAAACCAAACCGTAATAATGCGGTTTAGTGCGGTTTGGTTTGCGGTTTATAATAAGATGACATTTTTTCCTAAAAATTGTCAAATATTAATAAATTTATAATAAAATTCAAATAATTAGCCAAAGGGATTAAATTCTACTGCAAATTTTTAATAAAAATAACAACCAACTAATCAAGTGCTAAGTGCTAACACAATAACACATAATAAAAATAATACATAACAAATTAACAGTGGAAAAAAACATAATAAATTTGTCCAAAAAAATAATTCATACTACATCATACTACATTATAGTTATATGACCTATTGAATTTTAAGTATTGATATTTGAGATTGAGTATAGAGTATAGTAGTATACTGACCGTATAGTATTCTAATGATTTTTCATGTTTTTTTTGTTTTTTTTATTTATTTTTTTTATAATATATAATAACTATTTTAATTTATTTAAAAATATTTAAATATAAAAATGCGGTTTACTGGTTTACGGTTTGGTTTGGTTTATAATTTTTGAAAAACCAAACCAAACCAAACCGCAAACCGTATTTCACAAAAAAATCGAAACCAAACCGTATTTTTCCAAACCGCAAACCAAACCAAACCGCTAAAATGCGGTTTGATTGGTCTGGTTTGGTTACGGTCCAGACCAAACACTCGTACAGCCCTATTCTAACTATTAATCCAACAAAAAAAAAACAAATTCAACCTTAATTAAATTAAATAACCCACCACCACCAATACCACCAAGCATCACCCAAACCACTCACTACCACCACCCAACATCACCGAAACCACCCAGCATCACCAAAACCACCCACCACCGCCCACTCACCTAGTACCGAACCCAGCACCGTCGACGCACCACCACCACCCCCACGCACCCAGCAACGAACGAACCCATCAGCCCACGAATCCAGCAACCCGCCGACCCACCACCACCACCCCATGCACCTAGCAACGAACGAACCCATCAACCCACGAATCCAGCAACCCGCCGACCCACCACCAGCACCCCACGAACCCAGCACCACGACGCCTCCGATCTGCTACCACGAACCCACCAAACCAACGAAACCAAACCCACGAAACCCGCCGATCTGAAACCACGAAACCCGATTCACGAATCAAACCCACGACGCCGTCAATCTGCAACCCTCGCCGCTCTTAACACCATGAAGCCATCATGAAAATGGGGTTAAAGGAGGAGAGAGAAAATTAAATGGGATGAGGGTTTTATTAATTAAGCTTAGGGTTTAATCTCATGAAATCAGATTTGTAATTTAATAAAGTTGTTTTATAAAAAAAAAGTAAGGGTATATTGGTCAATTACATACCACCCAAAAACATACTAAAAAATGAAAGAAACAAGTTTGTTTTGAGTAAATTGAACCACACAAAAAAGAAAATTGTTGTGAGTAAATTGGACTGAAAGTAGTACATATAATGCATAAGTGCATAACCATTATAACTTCTTAAGAGTATGTAACTTAAAAGTGAGATGAAAAAAAAGTACTCCCTCCGTTTTTAAATACTTGCTCTATTTTTCCATGCGCGGAGTTTTTGGAGAAATTGGAGAAAGTAAAAAAATATGAAGGTAGTGAGGTTGGTGGAAGAATAAAATTTTTTAAAAAGCAATAGTAGTGGAGAGAATTGGAGGAGAGAGAATATATGTTGGGTCCACTAGATGAGAGACGTTAATAAAATATTGTAAAAACTTTCCAAATGAGGAAATGGAACAACTATTTAAAACAACCGCAACTGTTCTCTTACGTTGAAATTCAGTTCAGTTCAGTTTAGTTCAGTTCGGTTCAGCTCAGCTCAGTTCGGTTCAGTTCAGCTCACTTCAATTCAGTTCCTAATTTCCTTCTCTTATAAAATATTCATTTCAATTCAGTTCAGTTCAGCTCAGTTCTATTCAGTTGAGTTCAGTCAATGAGAACAGGCTACTAAAATTTGAAATAAAGAAATCCAATAATCAAGACCTTCTCTTATCTCTCCTTTGTTTCGGTCACCAATGTACCCTCTTGCTCTACCCATCACAATTTCGCATCATAATATCTTTTCTTTCAGAACTCGGCTATACACTTGAGTTGGGTTTCAATTTCAACTTCAAATTCTGGATTATAAAAAACAAAAGTTAACTAGACATTTAAGTATATGATGAAGAGAGAAATCTACCAGGCAGCAGCAAGTGGAAATGTAGAGTTTGTCAAAGAAGCCAAGGCCAAAGACGTGGAAGCTTCGGCGGCTATCTACAGCGACGATGATCTCCTTGTGTTAACAATCCGAGGTAATAACATCATCCATGTCGCTGCCAGATTTGGTCACCTTGATTTCATCAAGGCTGTTTTGGAATGCTTTGAACTCCCTCACCAAAGAAAGCTCATTTGCGAAACAAACTCCGATCGTGATACACCTCTCCATTTGGCTGCCAAACAACGTACTCAAGCATTAGCTGAGCTCCTTATTACCTCCTACCACCGCCTTTTCACTTCAGAGGATAAAGAGGTGGAGGTGGAGACGCTGCCATCTCCCTGGACGGTAGAAAATTGGGATGGTAACACCCCGCTTCATGTGGCATTGATGAACGGAGGCAAAAGTATTCAAGTTGCAGCTTACTTGCTTGGGGTTGGTCCTGAAGTAGCTGTCTACACTAACCGTCTCGAACAAACTCCACTTCATCTCGCCGTTATGTATGATTTTAAAAAATCGAGATGATCATAAGCAATCATGTGCTAGAAGATATAGACCTGAATGTTGGAAATAAGAATGCAAAACTAGAATAGGAACGTTGAATTAAGCTTATGCTATTCTCATTCAAATAAACTAATAACAAATCATGCCTTATATAGGCTACATACAAAATAACTGTCAAAATAAATAAAAAGCAAATAATTAGCATGCAAGCCTAATTATGTGGGTTGTTGTTGTTGATACTTGATAGTGCCCATAATTCTAGCCCACTACTATCACTACTAACTTACTAGTTTGACTAAGTAAAAACAATATTAAAACGTTGAATACATTTCTCTTAATAAATTATAGATTTTATTGTTTAGTTTTAATATTTAATCAGAAAATATACTTCGTTTTTGTCAGCCATACATATGATAAACTCGCTTAATAGCCAAGGGGCAGCATTGTCAACCAAGAATATTAATTTCGTACAAGAAAAGGAAGACATCTCACTCTCCTTGGTAAGGTCGTTATTACAGACAAAAAGTGAGGTATGTTGTTGGTGGGATGCAGATGGGATGCCCCCTCTACTTAGAGCTGCAGTTTGCTCTAATTTACCTATTGTTGATGCCATGGTCAATGATTGTCCTGAGTCAATCGAGACATGTGATTCAAAGGGAAAAAATGTGTTACATCACATAAGATTTTCAACTTTCTTAGAGGCAAGGAAATTTTTGGAAAGGCCAGAAATTCCTATGGAGCTCATCCATAAACAGGATGATGACGGGAACACACCAATGCATATAGCTGTAATGAACCATGATCTCGGAATTGTAAAAGCTATGGTGGAACATAATGCTAATTTTGCCATAAAAAATAGGGAAGGTGTTTCCGCACAAACTCTTTTTGATCAGTTTGTCATCAACAACAAGTTGGATGTTTCAGCCGAAACTCAAATTCAGTCAAAACCGAACAAGTTTCTTGACTTAGTGGTATGCAAAAAATTTATATTTCTTATGGTTTTTTTTAACATATATTTTTTTTTTTGACCAATTAACAAGCGACACATGGCAGTGTAGACCCCACTCAACAGATTTATGGACGGAATCTGTTAAGTGGTGGTAAAATCAATTTTTCGAAAAATTTGTTGGTGTTAAAAACCATTTTCGGGTTTTTTTTTTTTTTGTGGTGTTAAAATCTAAAATTTCCTTATAATAATAATATCCAGTAAAAATAATTTCAGTTAAGCAAAAATAATCAGTAACTTTAAAGAAGAAATATGTAAGAGAATCAGTAAAATTAATTTCAGTTCTGTAAAATTAATTTCAATTCAATAAAAATAATTTAAGTTCAGCAAAAATAATTTCAGTTCTGAAAAAATTAGGTGAAATGAACGGGGACTTAGTGCCAAAATTAATATTTTGCTACTACACATCTAATATTGCAAAAATACAAATTTATCAACAAAAAATTAATCAATTTGTTATGTTTCAAAAAAAAGTTAATCAATTTGGTAAAACCTTTTTTAATGGCAAAATTTAGTATTTATTCAAAATGACAATGTTAGTTGTAATTTGTAAAAAAAAAAAAAAAAAAGAATTGTAACTGCTACAAATAATACTTCAATATTTGATCAAATAAAGATATGATCTTAGCAATTCAGGGTCTCCAACATTATGAGTTTGCTGAACATTCTTCAAATGAGCCTTTTCCAGAAGAACAATTCATTATAAATGCTTTGAAGAAGTACCCAGTCCTTTTTTGTCAAACAAACCGCTTTGGCGAAACACCTCTTCATCTTGAGGTGTTTCACAAGATGTGGCAGATCCGTGATGGGACGCAATTATATAGGATGATAAAAGAAGAATTGATGAATTTAAAAGGTCGAGGAGAACTACCACTACCTCCGTGGAAGTTAAAAGACGTTCAAGGCAACACCACCCTTCACTATGCAGCTAAATATGGAAATTATGAATTTGAGATAGACGCAAACTTAGTTGGAGAGCTCAACCATTCCAAACAAACTCCTTTGCACTTGCTATGTCAGAAGCACTTTGGTAAGTTTAATACTCGTGGTACTCCTTACATATAATCAAATTTTAAATGTTTTGACTTAAAATTTGTTTGCTGAAATTAAAGCTTCCATGCAAAGATCAATTAGAAGATGAATTGATACCATAAGTCCATAACAAACACCATCAATGGCCGACAAACTCCAACACCATAACATACACCATGACCAACACCACTAATACCATAACAAACCCCAGTCCCAAGACTCCCAACACAAACATCTTGGACAGCTTTGCCACTGAATTCAACGAAAAATCCTAAGAAATATATATAAAGTTATGGCATGATTAACCCCTAATGGTAGGTGTTTTTGTTGGATTGATTCAAAGTAGTTGCTATAATTTAGGATAGGAACATGTTTTGTTAGTTGTTAAGTAGTTTGCTGAATATGTGGAGTTAATAGAGTTAGTGGGTTAATTAACTGTGCTTTATTAAAGTGTTAGTTGTTAAGTAGTTTGCTGAATATGTGGAGTTAATAGAGTTAGTGGGTTAATTAACTGTGCTTTATTAAAGTTAGACGTGGGAATATGGGTCATGCTATTCCTTAATTTGTTATGCCACCTATATAAGGGCTTTTATTGTACTTAGTTTTAATTGAATTGATGAATACAAGTTAGTTTTGTAATTCTTTCCCTTCTCCCTTTATAGTTTCTACAGTTTTCCGTCGTTGAAGAATTCCTTGCTCGACCTTCAACCTTCAATCATCCATAGTTGAAGAATTCTCAACTTTCATGGTTGAGGAGAGAGAGAACAGTGAGTATGTGGGTTATAAATATTACTGAAATGACTCAACTAACCTTGCTAATTTACATAAAAATATGAAAATGCCCTTTTGAGAAACTTGTATTTTCTCTAATTAATTACATTTTTATTAATAATATATAAAATTGCGTGCAGATTCTGGCAACCAAATGATGATGGCAAAGTTGTTAATCGAAAAAGATGCCTCAACAGTGTATGCGCGGGACATTGAGGGTTTCACTCCTTTGTTAAGAGCGGCGCAGCATTTGTGGACTACAGACTTCATATTAGAAATAGTAAAGCAGCATCCACAATCAATAAGACAGATTGATCCTCATGCTCGCAATTTTTTTCATCACTTGAAATATTTTGCTAGCAAGGAAAAGTTGTGTGAAATAGCACCACAAAAGGAGAGTGAGATTCTTATTACACAGAAAGATGACCAGGGTTACACTCCTTTTGATTTGGCAGTTCAAAAGCGTCACTTTTCGAAGGCTCGACTTTTAATTGAATGCTGTGATTTGCGAGGGGAATGTTTTAAGACTTGGCTTTTTCACCACAACGAAAGTAGTAGGGAGATGATTGATGCGGACCAAATTTCTTTCCAAGTAAGTTCCAATTTATTATTATTATTATTATTATTATTATTATTATATCTCAAAAAAAGACAAATTCATACTGGTACAACTTATAAAAAGTGGAAAGTCAAGATACAATATAGGTCCACACTCTTCTAGTTATAGATAATCCTACCCTAATGAATATATAAGCAGCAACACAATATCGTGAGTCGACAAGAACTTTTGAACTCGCTTTAGCATGCACAACCTCCTTCTCTAATTCCCCAAGTGAGGAAAAGGAGAAGGGAAGGAAATCATATCTAATTTTTTGACAACTAGATTCGTACTTAACCCAATTTCGATGAGCCACATCCGCCACAACTTGTCCAGGAACAAAGTCGGATATCTCAAACTATGTCAAAGGAGAAAACCATGGCCAATCAAGTCAATACAGACATCGCGACAACGATCATAGGAATAAAGTAACACATCGATCTGTAGGTTTGAGGAATCCCATATTAGTAGCAAACATCAATAAGGGTATCCCAAACAACATTATACAGATATTTAATACCCACAATACCAGCACACGACACCGCGTAATCAGCAAAATAGTAAAAAACCCTTGACCAAGCAAAGCATGATGTCGAGACAGAGAACAATAGAACACCCAATCAGTAGCACAACACAGATTAGTAAGTCTTTGCATTCATCATCTGACCCAAACCCGAAATACGAACCGTCCAAAGCCAAGCAAAAGTGTGATCTCCGTGCTGCGATTTTCACTATGCTTATTGTCGAGGAGATAAAGAAAAGGTGGATTTTGCAGATGCGGTAACCTTTGAGAAATATATATTTGTCAATTTGTTCATGAGTTTAGGGACATCGATCTCACTAGGATTACTTAAAATGTCAAACTCCACCGTTCTATTAAACATAATCAACGCATCTTCAAAGAATCGACAACCACCAACAATGTCAACATGTCGTAGAAGCTGTGTCTGCAACACGTAGATTATAACCGAGAAGCAAGAAAAGTATAATGGCAACCATCACTTGTGGAATGAACACGGTAAGGTGGCAAGCCGCCACTGCAAATTACCAAACCTAGGCCCTGAAGCAGTAACAATCGCTCCAAGGAAAATCAACTTCTCTATTATTATTATTAAAAACTTGAGACCAATTGATTAAGTAATACTAAAACAAAATATTGTTGACATCATCTCTCCTCAAAAAAGTATACGTGTCGCTTTCTTATAAAAAAAATTCCCGCTTAAAACCATTGATGATGTCATTTTTTGTGATATGTTTTCTTTTAAAGGATTTTTTTTTGAAGTGATATTTCGTAAACAAGCTAATTAAGTAAATTGTTTCAACAACTTTAATACAGAAAATTGAAGTATAGTAAATAAAATAGCAACTGTATTCCTTTGTTTTGATTTAAAGATCTAGTGTTCTTTGCACCAAAAAAAAAAACATATTCAATTGTTCAGAAATTTCCTGAAATATATATATATTCAAACTGTATTCCTTTTAAGAAATCTCCTTTCAATGAATTTATGACAAAATTGAAAAGATTCATTGTATATATGAGTTCTACACTATAATTTTTTTGGATCTTTTACCAAAATAGCTAATTTGATAAAAGTATTTACTAAAACGGCTAATTATAAAATTTAATTCCCAAACTAGCTAAATTTATTGATTTGAAAAGATATTATTTATTTTTTATTCCTCTGAACCGGTTCGGTTCACTAACTTCACTCTAATTCGGTTCACTTTATGGTTTTTTTTTGGGTTTTATTTAAAAAGAATTACTTCGTAGTTGTTCCTTATAGCCTCTTTTCTCCTAAGTACTGATGTTCCAGGATTTGCTCTTACAACCTCATTCATCCATTGAGGGAGAATCTTGTATGATTCATCCCAATCACCAAACAAGTTCCTTATAGCCTTTTGTTTTGCTAACCAAGCTTTCTTGTAACTTATCTGAAAGTTAAACCTCAAGTAGATATGTGTTACTATTGCTGCCACAGTTACAGAAAATTGAGCATTCACTAATTGTTCAATCTTGCGTGCCACAAATTTGGAGCCTAAGTTAAAAAAAATATTTATATTAACCGACATTAATAAAGAGTATATAATTAATAGACATGAAAAAGATAAACATTATTTATTTATTTATTTTTTTACTTGAGATGAACAATACCTTAAAATCCTTTATCGTCGTATAAATTTGCGGTAGTCTTGATAGAACAATACTACTTGAAATTTCAATTTTTTGTGATTGATATGATCAAGAAGAAAAATTAGGCTTTTAATTTTATTTTATTTTTATCGAAATTAGGGTTCTGCAAGTCTGTAACTGTTTACGTTCTTAGTAGTTTTGTGCTTATATTTTCCAACTTAAAAAAATCTTTAAGGAAATAAAAATAAAACCAAAAAAACAAAATTAAAAAATAAAAAATAAAAAAAAAATAAAAATAAGAAAGAAAGAAAGTGAACCAAACCGGTTTGGGAATGTCCTTTCAAATCAATAAATTTAGCTAGTTTGGGAATTAAATTTTATAATTAGCCGTTTTGGTAAATAATTTTGTCAAACTAGCCATTTTGGTATTACTCCGTATGGGAATAATCTAGTAAGAACCAATTAAAAGTCTTATTTGTTATTTCTCCGTATCTTTGCCAACTTATTCCAATTCAATTATTAATCATGCTTTCTTATCAAATCATTAGCTAAACAACATGGAGTACTTTTATAAGTATATCATAATAGGTGACCGTTTAATTGCATTATCTTAAAAATATTGTGATCAACTTTAGAAACTTTTTGCTTTTATTAAATTAAATTAATTAATGTATCTTAAAAAAAGTTTGCAAGAAATTAAAAGTATGTATCATAATTCTTTTTTCAAAATTTCCTCAAATTACGAGGTATGGACATAAGACCTTATCCCTAGTCAGACAGAAGGGCTTATGTTCTGAGTAAAGAAGATATAAAGGAATATACGAACACAATGGGAGTGGTGGTGGCACTGCTAGCAACAATAACATTCACCGCAGCGTTTGCAGTTCCTGGTGGGTACAACGATGACACCGGAATTCCGAATTTTGGAAAGAAGGCAGCATTCCAGGTGTTTATGGTTTCGGATGTAGTAGGGATGTGCAGCTCTATGATGGTTCTTTTATGCTCCTTTGGTTAACATCTAAGGAAGTTGAACTCGATGAACGGGATATTGTACGATTTATGCTTATGGATATGACCATCGAATTGCTTCTGATATCGTTTTACGCAACTCTAATAGCTTTCATGACAGGAGTTTATGTAATCACAATCTCCGACACTCCATCGTTAGCTATCTTTAGCTGTGTCCTCTGCTTCTTACTAATCTTGTTGATGAGAAGACGTCATATCAAGATTCTCAGTTTCATATTGCGTGTACTGCCTGGAATCCCCTTGTTATTATGTGGTGTTTTACCCGACATTAGAAAATGGTTCTACCGCCAGCCAGAATAGGGATCAACAACAGCATATATCCTGCAAGACAATCCATTTCATCTTCTTCATCATACTAATTAATACCATTATATGTGCTACGTACTTTGTCTAATTCTGCCGTGTGATATGCGTGTACGTATACTTGTAACATGCCAAGACGGCAAGACCAGTGTTGTATATATTATGAAATTTTTCTGTGGAGGCGCTTGGTGCATCCAGTGTTCTTAAAAAAAAGGCGGAATGAACATTTAGCTATTCAGTAAAGAACATATAGTTGTTTTGTAAAGAACATATAGCTATTTTATTAAGAACATCCGGTTTTATATGTTTTTTTTGTAAATATAAAGAACATTTGTAATATTAGTAAAGAACATGATAATATTAAAAAACATTATTCATATAATAATTGTACATTTGGTATAAATGATCATGTATGTATATGAAAATGTACATTTTACTATATTATAACGTACATTGTATTATATTCTAATGAACATATATGTTATAATGTTGGTTACATGTTTTATGTACATTGTATTATTTGCATCATATAAGTATATGAAAAATGAATATTAGATTGTATTTTAATGTACATTGTATTATTTGGATCTACAACTTTTTCTAAATTTGTCTATTTGCTTGTTTTCTTCTTCCAAAATATATTAATCGGTTGATCTTCTACAAGAATTTCATTTTATTTCTCATTGCAACAACAAAATTATATCAAAATCGCAATTAATTTTCAATAAAATCAAATATTACAATTTTCAATCAAATTCATAAAAAACAAACACTCAAACTCAAAATAAACAAGTATGAATGTCAAATAAACAAGTATAAATGTCGAATTTGGTCTTACCTTTCGTTTTTATTTGTCATCTTGAACAATGACTTTTAGGGAAATTGTAGTCGTGTGGGATATTGTTACATTTGCCTCGGTATGTACTTTCATAATTTCAGTTCTTTATAACTTTACTGTTATACAACTAAAGATATTTAAGGTTGAAAATATGCGTTGGAATGCGTAAGTCTCCCCATGGCGTTGTCTTTTTTAATCATCAGCTTGTGTTATAATTCATTTTCTTGTTATCGGTGCACTATTAAATTAAACTATTAATACAGGTCATTTTATTTAGCTGAGAATTGTTTAAGAAGTAGAGTTAGTTTAAGCCTGCATTACTATGTCTGTGCTTCTCCCATTGATTGACCTGATTCACACTCTAGGCTAGAGTTAGTTTAAGATATAATGAAATTATTTTCTACTTTGGGGGGATGCTTAGGGTAGTTGCATGATTGTATGTGCTCTAGGATTCAGCTCAAAATTTCGAATTTCTTGAAATTTTGTTTGAGGTTTGAGAAATTTAAATGGGTTTGAAGTTTTGCTTGGAGAGAAAAAGTGAACTTTTGGTAAAAAAAAAAATTGAAATAATTTGTAATTAATGTATGTAAAAAAAATAATTATAGTACTATTTATCAATTTCATTATACAAAATTTCTTTTTAAAAAAATATATATACAAAATTGTTGCATAAAAAACTGATGTACATTATAAATGAACACTATGTTCTTTTATGTATATGTTCATGTACATTATAAATGGCTACTATGTTCTTTTATATGACCATGTTCATTAGTATATATCTAAATGTTCATTCCGCTTTTTTGTATTTTGGAGCGGATGCACCATGTGAATCGTGCATCCGCCTCCATGAACCAACTATTATATATATTAGACCACTCTAGTATCGTACTTTGTGATTATGTTTTACATTTGATGCCACTTTGTATTGCTTTCATGTTTTACATTTGTCAAGTGTTGATATGGATTTTAATGGATATAATCTTCAATCGCAGTTGAAAGGTTTGGAATCTTGAGTCTCGATCAAGAAACATTAAGCAACAGGAGCTTTAAGCCTAAACTAGGCCAATAATACACAAGCACACGCCTACATAAAACTTTATAAATTTTAAATTAATCAATCTTACTTTTCAGTAAACAACATCACGTATCTATAAGCTAAATAATTAGCATAAAAATCGTGTAAAACAAATTCTTATCTAACTAGGAAACTAACCCTAACTCGTAAAGATAATATTGTGCAAATATGATCTTTAAAGTTAAGCTTATTTTTAACTAACCGAATTAAACTAACAAAAATATCCTAATAAATTATGTCACTTAATAATAAAATCAAAAATAACAATTAAAATAATTAAAATAATAATATTGATGCCTAAGAACCGCATCAAGTGTCAACTAACGTACTTAGAAACAATACTCCTCAATTTTTTTACTACTTCCTCCGTCCCCAAAATTTCGACCCTTTTGGCCTAATTTTAGTCCCAAAATGATCGACCCATTTGCATTAAAATACCTACCAATTTACAACAATATTTGTGCAAAATTAGCTTTCCCATATAAAATTTTGTTTTTTCATGTATTTTTAATATTTTATCTCTCTACTTTTTTACAAACCCCATGTAAATTTATCTTTCAAATATATTTTTATTTCTTTTTATTCAACTTTCTTAATAATCGCGAAATCTGTCCAAAAAAGTCAAAGTTTTGAGGACGGAGTAAATACATTTAAAAAAAAAAAATTGGAAGACTATTTAAAGAGTACATTAAAATTGTGACCACTATAATACTTTTTGATCTAGACCCTTCATTTTTTAGAGGAGATCTTATCCATTCATTTCAAGCTCTCAAATGTCGGAAACTAATTACTTCATTATTGCATATACATGGAGTTTCGTAAACGTGGTTTTGTGTCGATTGAAGCTTAACCACAAGTCCACAAGCCATTTCCACGTCATCAATAATGCTGGTATATAAATGCCCCATTCCCCATACATAGCTTTAGTAAACCAGTAATTTCTAATACTACATTGCATACTTGTGAAGAATGTTGAACATACTGTTCCATCATCAGAGGAAAGTAGAAAATACAGAGGCATGAATTTCGTCTATAGTTTGCGGCACCAACCTTGCAGCAGCTGCTCTAAAAGAAATACAGGACTACTGTTGTTGCAACCATAGTTCATCTTTCATCTACACTTTACATGCTTTGGCATGATAGTCACATCCTTCATAGACTTCTAAACCTGATTGTTGCAACTCATCTTCTTTCAAACATACACAACGCTTGCTCATTTTTCCTGTCAATGCGATCTCTAGAGGTCTCTGCATTAGTCTTGGATAGCCATCGTCACACCAAACCTGATGAGACAATCCCGAAATAAAAACCAGTAATTTAAATGATTTTGAGCAGTTTTCACAAAATGGCATAGCACACAACTATCTCACTCACTCCAAAAGCTGATCCATGATTATTCTTAAGCTTGATGAGACTAAAACACTCACTTTATATACAGCCACTAACACTTTAAACTGTCAACTACTCTCTCCGTATTTTATTACTTACTCCATTTTACCATGTGCGGAGTTTTAGGAGGAATAGTAGAAAGTGGGATTTGGTTGGAAAAAAAAAATCTAAAAATACAAAAGTGAGTATAAGTGGGGATGACCGGATGAGGGATGAGAGTAAATGTGAAAAATATAAAAACAAACATGATGTAAAGGGACAACTAGTGGGGAGAAAAATACGTAGTAGTAAAATATTGTTAAAAGTTTACAAAAAAAGGAGATAGAGGCAAGTAATGAAATACGGCAGCAAAAGTAAAGTAGAGCAAGTAATAAAATATGGAGGGATTAATTAAGGACATGACTGGCAAATTCTAACCCTATTTAAATCTAATAATTGAACCTTTCGAAAATTCATGAATAATCCAAGCTTTAGGGCTATGTTACTCGCACTCTTCATTTCACTTAACGTACCAGTGTCGGACCCTTGACACTCGGACATGAATATGACACCAAGACACTTCACTTTTATTTCAAAATCATAGAATAAATAGCCAAGTTGGACACTTGGACACGTACCCGTGTCGGACATGGGTCTTCGAGTCCTAGTAATATTGCTTTAGGGATCTTCAATTTTATTAGGCGAGATTGGTCACCAACCTAGAATATCCGGTCACCATGACACATTTTAATTCATCCAAATAAATTATTTTTTTTATTTGTTTAGTAGAAAAAATAGTTTTTTATAACTTTTTTTTTCAGAAATGCAACCCTTCCCCTGCACCTCCATTGATACGGGCTTCTGGCCACCCTCCCTTCCCTTTTCCGGCCATCCCCTCCCCTTCCCCTCCCTTTCCGGCCACCACTCCCCTTCCCTTCCCTTCCCATTTTCGACCATCCCCTCCCTTTCAACTACATTTTCTGATCACCCCCCAATGAAACTCCCAACCCGAAACTCGCAACCCCAAGACCCACATGAAATCGGAAACGCTGAAACCTGCAACCCCTAAAACTGACAATCCCAAGACCATTATATCATATTGTTATGGGTATAGAGAAGGGCATTTTGGGAAAACACAAATTTATCACCCAAAACCCCCTTTCTCTTTATATATTACTATAGATTGGGGATTGTTATGGGGTTTTCAGGGGGCTATTGACAGTGGGTCGGTGGCTGATGTAGGCAGTTTTGTGCTGTTTTGCTACTAGGTGGTGCAGCGGTGAGGACTGAGGAGGCCAGCGACCGGCGGTGAGGAGGCTGCAGCTCGTGTTGGGGGTGTGTTGGGAGATTGAGGCAAGGGAGTGATGGATGGCAAAGGGGCAGTTTGGCTGGGGGCAGAGAGGTTTCTCAGGGGTGGCTGGTTCCAGGGGTAGGATCAGGTGGCTAGGAGAAGAGGAGTGGAAGTGGCAGGGGGGAAACCAGGAAGGGGAGGGGGAGTTGAGGCTGCACCGGGGAGAGGGACGATGGCTAGGACCTTGGGAAGGAGGAGAGAGATTGGATTATTTTTTTGTTAAATTAAAAAAAAAAAATACATGAAGAATAGGGAACTTTCTAATAACTTTGAAGACCCTCCAAAACTTGTATTATTTCTAAATAATCGAAAGGTTGTATTCTTAGATTTAAATAGGACAAGGGTTGGATTATTAAAATCAAATTTTCCAAAACATTTTCCAATTATAACATGAGTATATTTCAAGCTGCATTTTTCCATCTTATTTCTGTGTTCTTTTCTCTAGTAGGCCCTAGGGAGGTAGAAGCATTTTCCTAGAAAAAAAATCCTATTCAAGGTTTTGAGCAACAATCGTACGTTGATTATTGAAAATATATTCGAAATTTCTTACCTCTCCACCCTCATGCTGACTCCACTTTGAATTGCAATTTGGAATCTTTTCTTCTTCTCTTTTCTGCTTTTCCAGCAACTGGGCACCTCTAGCTGCCTTTGCTTCTGCATTCTTCAAATATTTGGTAGGCATCCCGCGAAAGTCATAGTAACGACCCACCAATCTACCAACAAATCTATAAACAAATTTTTTGTTTGTTAAAAGTCCACCTAGTTTACAAGAAGAAAAATATTATCAAAATCTCAATTGACTATTATACTCCAGTAAAATTAAATTTACTGATAACAACTACTCCGTATATTTTATGAATTATTAATGATTTTGCTAATTAAAAACTGCTATTCTCTCTCTAGACAACTGGTTTGTGTTGTACCCTAATTCTTAGAGCGAAAACTATTTGAATTTTTTTTTATTGATTGAAATTGATTTTTGCTAATCAGTTTATTGACTCAAACTGAATCTACAGATTTTTATTTTTTATTTTTTTATTGTACGAGAGAATAGGGCCGGTGAGGAAAATTTCATAAACACTTTCATGACCTAGAAAGAGTTGAACAACCTAAAACAGAGCATATGCAGGCAAATGTAGCATGGTAGTACTTCATTTCACAAACAAACTTCAAGAACATCTTAGTTTTCTATTCTTCTTTTGTACTGCAACAAAGATTTGTCTGATTCAGGTGTAATATAAAGAAAGCTAGAATTCAGTTTATGCAACTAACGTATATGTTTTGAGGAAGAAATCCCGCCATTCTACAACACTTTTTACCTGCAAATACATAGGAAACAATGCATACATATTCAGCATTGCAATAAACCAAAAGTCATAGCAATATAGAGTGAAAGAGAAGGGGCAGGAAAAGGTTAGTGATACTTGAGAGTGAGAGAAATTGATAGATATGACTTTGCAATCATCAGAATGTACAGAGAGACAGAGATTGATGTTGACTTTGAAATCATTAGAAAGAGGGAAAGGGGAAGGGAAAGAAATGGAGGAATATTAAAATCCGCTGACAAATCAGACAAGTATTGCCAGCAAAGGGCCCAAGGAAATACTTAAAATAAACATTACAGATAGTCAATTGCAACTTAAATTAAACAGAGGAAGCATGATTTCTAAGCACCTCGCTGCTAGATAGTCCACGTAGTGTGTCAGTAAGTCCGTCACCTGCATTCAGGAGCAACTGCAAAAACTTAATCAGGATGCAAGAATTAGCCTATATTAAACCAAAAGTCATAGCACTTTCTGCCAATAGCCCAATACTGAAGCAATATTTTTTAATAGAAGTGCAAACAAAAGTACAGATGCATATTCCATACTAACAAAGCAGCATTTAGCTATGCGATTACATGGCTTTTGGTGTCAAATGTGATTCAAGGCATTAGCTCTGCTCATGAGAGAACTAAATTGTCAGATAAATAATGACATTCATATCTAGTATATAACCCAGAGGACGAAACCTCTTCTTTAGAAATGACATTGAATTGGAAGTTCTTTGATTGACATAATTTCAATCGACTACCTAACTCAATTACTCAAGCTATATAGTTGAAAGAGAAAGTATGACTGACTTTACAGAATTGGCATGTAGGAGACCCATCAGAATGACTTGCCAGTTCATATATAGAAAAAATTATTTCATACTTTCTCCGTTTTTATTTACTTGCAACCCAGTCTTGTTTCATGCATTTTGAGGTCAAGTTTATATAATGTAAACGGACAAATTATTCAAAATAATTACTACACATGATATCTATCACTAATAATCTCCTAAAACTGCGTGCCTAAATGGTGTGTTGCAAATAAATAAATAAATAAATAAATAAAATAAAAATAAAAAAAAAAATAAAAAAAAAAAAAAACAGAGGAAGTAGATGTTAACCAAATTGTAATTTATGACAGATATGTGAGCCTAATAAATCTCTTGTTCTTCACCACAATTCAACAAACCTTGTTTAACTTAAAACCATAATCCAAATATATTTCTCTTTTGCTTTTGACAACCCCTTTTGTGCTTACTCTGTCACTCCTCCAACAGACTAGAATTTGAAGAGCATGCTTATAAGAATTACGATCTCTGTGCAGAAGAATTCTTTTCAAAAGCACGAGGAAGGCAAACAAGGCATAATCCAAACATTATTATTGTTAAGAGCTCTAACCTGTAAAATTTCCGGAAACAAATGCACGTGAAGCATCTCTGTGACAAAAAGGAGTATGCTTGAATCAGATTCAGGGCTACATGTTTTTTCTAACATAAAGAAACCAAAATTAATTAAAAACACAACCACAGGAGAAGTTCGTGGTTTCAGCCAGCACATGATGTAAGAAACTAAGAAATGTTCTCTTTATAATTGGCCTTGAACATGAAGGTCTTCCACTTCCATGAATGGTGGAAGAGGGATAAACTTCTAAGTCTAAGTATAAGACACCATTACAAAATTTATTGAATTGTGTGAATGCTACCCAAAAAATAGTTTCCAAACCAGCAACAATCAATAAGATCCATCCTGCAATCAGATTGGGTTGAAAGCCGAAAATCAATCTGAAACATGACCACCATAGTTTTTCAAAATACAATAATTGCCTGTACAAAGTGCAAGCAATTCAAAATGCCCAATCTTGCAAGACCCATATGCATGCAACAAAATCCAAAACATACAGGGCATCTCACAGCTCCTAGAGTTGAAGATGGATGCACATTAAAATGGTCACATCGTAACAAGTATTGGTGGACATCCAGATTTAGTGATTGATGCATCATCTAAAAATTCTCCGTGCTTCCAATTCATATTAAAATGAAAAGCATTTAAAGAGTAACAACCTTCCAGCAAAATGATTGTAAGCTCCTCCAACACCATAATGTGATTTCCCTTTCGTCACATCAAATACTGAACTGATACATGAAATGAAAAGATATTAAAATAAATTTAGTAGCTCTACATAAAAAGGTACAATAGCAATGCCTTACAAACAAAACAGTATCTAGCAGTGAAGATATACGGTCATTGTTAACTCACTTCCTTCTTAACAGACCAATAATCATTCTTCTCAGCTTCTAATATCAAACATCTATAAAGGGCAAGGTTCGTATTCAAGATATATCCTTAAATGAACACACGAAAGGGTTTGATAAATAATACTACCATCAGTCCATCACTACTGCTTTCGATGAAATGGGGGTCTGACCAAGGTCTACTAACCCACCTACCGCTATACAACTTTCATACTATCTTCAAATTCACACCCTTAGATGCCATCCTAATCATAGCGGATCAAAATTACCCTATCCCAATCTCAATTCCAATTCTTAAGCTAACACAAACCATTATACTACAAATTAAACCCACAAATCATCAGCAAATAAACACAAATTATTGAAAAGGGATTCTTCCAGTCAAATATCACAAAAATAAAATCAAGAATACAGCATAAAAAAAAATTTAAAAAAAAAAAACCATCAAAATCAAAAATCATATCTTTCATTTAATGGGGTGTTGAGAATCAAAACTTAGATTAAAATTCAACAACTTTTGAAGCAAATCAAAATTTACAAGTATAAATATACTGTAAAGTACCCCAGTATTCCCAAGAAGATAGGCAATTGTTCGTCAGTTCCATTATAAAGGGACAGTTCTTGAACCGTAAACAATCTCTGTGTTACATCAATACAAAACCATTAATTAGTACTCAATAATTGTTGTATTTTCACAGAAAATATGTAATATAAATAAGAAATTAAACAAAAAAAATACCGAAGGTTGATGATGTTGATGGGGTTTGAAGAAGAATCTGAAGGCAAAACTGGAAAATGCAAAAGCAGCAGCAATTCCTATGTAAGTGGATCTGCCCATATTCTTGGTAATCTGATCCCACACTCTCAGCAGAAGCTCTCTTACTCGAAGAAAATTAAGCAAATGAGTTATGAAAAAATCACCATAGTAGGAGGAAAATGTTCAAAGTATCACTTTTTTTTAAAGTGCGGAGGAGTTTAATGCCAGTTGCCAAGTACAGAGTAAAAATTTTGAGTATTTGATGAACATTTACTTATTTTTTTGGGAAATCTTTTCTCCAAAAAGATTTAGAATAAAAAACAAGAAAAACACCCTAATAAACAATTACACACACAACTAAGTTCAATCCGTGGTTTATACACACGGGTGTATAGTGCGCATCGTGCACCCGGATAAATAAAAAAAAAATAGCAGAAAGAACATTCTGTGTTTCATAAAGAACATACATGTATTTGACAAAGAACATGTTTGTATTTGACAAAAACATGCATTACCAAAGAACATAAAGATATAATAAAAAGAACGAGTTAAAAACTTAATAAAATTTTCTGAAAAATTACACATTATTAACGGAAAAAATTTAGAGGTGATAAAAAATCGAGTAGGACCGGGCCATATCATAATTTCTCGTGCCCAAACCGGTAGAAAAGTAGGGGGTTTTCAGGCTTTTTTCAAGCCCGGTTCGAGTTTTAACTAAAAATGCATTTTTAGGTTTGCCCAAACCCACCTTATTTCGAGTCGGGATACGAGTCATGCAAATGTTGATCACCTCTTAAAAAATCCTTACCAAAGATATCATTTCCCCAAAAAATAATTTTCTATTTCTCCAAAAAAAAAAATTCAACTTAATTTAGTTTTTTTACTCTAATATTATTTTCAATTAAAAATAATTTAAGATTTCAATATCAAATTTCAAAAACACATATGTTAAAAGAACGTAATTTATATTGTAAAGTACATATAGTTAATACCTAAATAACACACTAATCAAACTCAAATAACATACGATAATAAAAGTAAATTAAATATGACATATGATAATGAAAATAAAATTTGGGTGTCACTACGACCTTAAAGAACATACACGCCAAATTCAAAGAACATACTTTGTATTATTAAACCCAAAAAAACATATGTGTTTATCAACATATGTTAAATAACATACTGATCACACTCAAAGAACATATAATTTTAATTGAAGAACACACTGATCACACTCAAAGAACATATTAAAGGTATGTTCTTTGTTAAATATAGGTATGTTCTTTATCAAACACTATATGTCGTTCTTTCCGCCTTTTTTTTTTAACCCGGGTGCACCATGTTTAGTTCAACTTAGTTGAAAATTAGATAATACCCTGGTTATTTAGTTCAATCACGTCCTAGAAATTATGGCGGAAAACTTGTGTTTAGTGCTAGTAGGGATGGGGGAGGGGCGGCGAGCCGACGAGGGAAAGGGTTGGGTGGGTAAGGGCGGTTCCGTAGGGAAGGGGAGGGCAGGGGTTTACTATTTAATTTTTTTGGATCAATCAAGGTTTAACACGTGTTAAGTAACTTGATATAACATGTTATTGACCTTTATTTATTGGTTTGGGATTGTTAGAAGAAATATACCCCAAAGTTGAGATTAAAATATTTAGAGAAAATCGGGTTAAGTTTGAAATTATTAAAACCATTATTTCTATTTCTTATCTCCAACATTTGTTTAATGAAAGTTTATCTCCAACAGTAGAACATACATTCCTTTCTAAAAAGAGAAGGTTTTGTGTGACTCCGTTTCACGTGAGTCCAGTTTATAACACACTTCCCTTATCACAAACCACAACCCCTGTGGCCACACACAACCCGGAATCAACCACTCCTTCCTCCACGTTGGTGATGATGCCGCCATCTTCGACTTACTCATTGCCATCACCCTCCCTCTTCCCCCTAAATTATGAATGTTTTTGCTACTATTCATAGAATGGCAAACGAAATGGAGTTCCCATCACAAACGAAACATTAATAGAGATGAAAGAATATCAAGATAAGAAGACGTTGAACCAAAATGACCGAGCTAAAGCAGCAATGTTAATGAAGAACACTGATGGTAAGGATGTGAGTGCTCACAACTTCGCCGCAAAGCTGGTTGATCGTTGTGGTAGTAGCGTAGTAGCGTTGCTACTAAGTGTATGATTTACAATGCAACTGGAGGTCCTATTACATTGGAAAACTCCGCCATTGATGCAACACCTTCATCACCAGGAAAATTTGTCTAATATCTAATTAATATTGTCTAATATTTGATCAATATTGTCTAATATCTAATTAATATTGCCTAATTTCTGATCAATATTGTCTAATTTCTAACAATTAAAACCCGAAAAAATACTATTAGATATAAGCTTTTGTTAGTCAGGAATAAGTTAATTTTCGTCAGAAATAAAATCATTCTAGTCAGGAATAAGTTAATTTTCGTCAGAAATTAAATATTTTCTGTTTGTATGATCGGACTCACGTGAGTCCATTTTACACAATACTTTACGTTCTGGGAAAATAAGTATATAAATAAATAAATAAATAAAAAGTGGAATAGACATTCACTTACCTCAATTCATGGTAGAAACTAGAAAGCACAATAATACTACATACTTCAATACTTCAACATTTGACAAAAAAATTAGTACTCCCTCTGTCCTCAAAAGTTGGACCATTTTTTTTCCAAAATTCAACCCTTTTGGCCTAATTTTAGTCCCAAGATGATCGATCCATTTGTACTAAAATATCTATCAATTTACATTAATATTTGTGCATAATTAGCTTCTCTATCTAAAATTTTATTTTTTTCATTCTTATGGGGACGGAGGGAGTAGTACTAAAATTACAATTTATTGAGCGATTTCCGTAAATAATGCTAAAATAAAAAATAATTCCGTGTGTACGTTGCTTTAAAAAATATTTCCCACTATACCGTCCACGACGTAGGCTCGGATTTTTGGTTCGTTTTTTGGCTATTAATAAACCGCTAATAAAGATTGCGGTTCTACACAAATTAGAACCACTAATGGTATTAGAGGTTCTTCAAATAGAACCGCTAATACCATTAGAGGTTCTTCAAATAGAACCGCTAATACCATTAGCGGTTCTATTTAAAGAACCTCAAGAACCGCTAATGGTATTAGCGGTTCTATTTGAAGAACCTCTAATACCATTAGTGGTTTGATATGAAGAACCTGTAGTGGTTAGAGGATCTTTAAATAGAACTTCTAATGGTATTAGCGGTTCTATTTGAAGAACCTGTAATGGTTAGAGTATCTTTAAATAGAACCTCTAATGATATTAGCGGTTCTATTTGAAGAACCTCTAATACCGTTAGCGGTTCTATTTGAAGAACCTAAACATTAAGCCTAATAAGTTACCGAGTATTTTAAGTATAAACCGCTAATGACATTAGCGGTTTTAATAAATGAACCGCTAATGATATTAGCGGTTCTTTTTTAAAATCCGCTATTGTTATTAGCGGTTTATAGCCTCGGATTTTACAACCCTACACTAATCCTACGTGTACGGTATCACGGGAAATAGTTTTAAAACTGACATATATACGGAATTATTTTTTATTTTAGCATTATTTACGGAAATCGCACCAATTTATTACATCGTTGTGACACACTCTAGATTTAAAATAAAAAATAGAGTACAAGGGTAATACTTGTTTAAGATATTTTTTCAAGGAAATGGTTAGGACATTTTTTTTGTTTTTTGAGGAAATAGTTTTGAGGAAATGGTTAGGACATCAATTAACCAAAACAAATTTTTGAGAAAATTAACCATTTTTTATTTTATTTTTTAAAAAAACGCCTTTAAAAAATTAGCTTGAATATTGTGGAAAAATAATAATTTACCGGCAAAAACAGAAACAATCCAAAGTTGTATCTAAATTTCAACAGATCCCCACTTGCTCCGTTACGATCTCTCTTCTCACCTCTTCGCCGCCGCCATTACCTCCGTCATCACTCCGGTAACTCTCTTTCTCCCTCTTCTTCCTTACCCAATTAATTAGATCATCTTCGTTATTCTTTATGATTCATAAATTCTCATATATTATGCAATTTTCTGTGTATAATTTTACATCATACTCTCAATTTTCCCAGTAATATTGTCTTTTTCTGCATTGCAAATTATTCAATAATTCTGTAATTTTAATGTTGAGCAGGTAATTTCATCCAAAAGGGTGTTAATTATATTGTTATTGGGGTGGAATTATGGGGGTTAAGCAAGCTATAAAGAGGCTTGATGCATTTCCTCGTGCTGAAGAACATTTGTTGCAGAAGACACAATCTGGCGCTATTGGTATAATTCCTTATTTTTTGCTTTTAAAGAGATTGCGCTTTGATTTTTAGATTCATTGTTTCCGGTTTTCGGGTTGTAAATTGTGACGAAAACCCTATTTTGATGATGGGTTTTAAGTTGGGTGAGGTTATGTTAGCTCTGATTTGAAATGGGGTTCTTATATTTTAGCTTGCAAAGTTGTTTTATTTGCTGGATTTTGGGTTATTTTGTTGGTGTTATGTCATTGTAGACACTCATGTGAGTAGTGTAGTGATGAAAATAAAAACATCCAACAACAATGCCTGCAGAAAATTTAAGATGATATCTATGGTAGTAGAGTTGAAGTGAGCAATGGTGTCTAATGTTTATACCCCAAATATGAATCGTTATGCTGGGAGGATGAATAATTCTGCTTCAAATTGTGGAAAAGTACATTTTATATATGTAGTATCGCATTTTCCAGTACTTTTTATTAATGACCTTAAGATTTAGTTTCACCTAACACCGTCGTTTCATGGATTTTGTGAGATTTAAACGACGAGTATAATGTTTCAAAAAAAAAAAAAACAAAAAAACAAAACAAAACAATGAGTATAACTTTTAAAATAAGTTCCCTGCCTCACTTCCAGTTATATGATATGGTTTTGTGGGTCACACTTGACGTTCAAAACTCATGATCTTCGTCAAATGGTAGTGTGGACTGAATAACATGCTTTATAAGGTTCATGATTGAAAAAAAAGTTTGTAAAAAGGTAGTGGTACTCCATAAGAAAGGTAGTTTATTAGGTCAGCTAATGGGTAGTGCAATTTCTGGCCAACCAAGTGAAAACTAATGGTTTTCTTTGCTTAATATAGGCTAAAACTATTGTAACATTTAACTTTCTCGTTTTCCAACCTTCTCTTATTATCTCATTTGTCACACAGAGACTGTTGTACGTATGGATGGCTAACCTGTCTTTTTGGGTTTTACAGTTTCTATTATTGG